GAGGGCACATAACAACAACAACAACACCTGTCAGAAGGTTTAAGTACTTTCCTCCTAGTTGCTAGTTTTCCTATCATGTGATTTTAAATAAATACTTAACTAATTCATCTGAAATTCATTTTAATGATATCTGAAGGTCTTCACCTTCAGATATCATTAAAGATTATTAAAACTAGCTAGCCAGTTTTCCAACATTTATTTATTAAGTGGCCTTCTCCAACCACCACCCCACCCCCGCACTAGGTTGTCTTCGTTGTTAGAAACTCCTACATGTCTTCATAAATGTTATAATTTTTCTTCATAGCATTCATCAAAATTGTAATTATGTAGTTATTTGTGTAATTATTTACTTAAAATTCAGCTGCATTTCCTCTTGCAAGTCTGAGTTACTACAGATCTCCCTATGATTTATAAATGCCTTCACAGATTCTTATAGTTCTATTACAGGATGTTTGAAAAGCTGTTTTCATCCACACTTTTGAAAAGTCTGCACTGTACAAAAATGTTATCATTTAATAGGTAGCCCAGGGCTCTCCAATAAAGGGGAGTAGATGGATCTAAGTTTAATTCTATCTGTTTCAGAACTTTATAATAGAGAATGATATAATAGAGAATGATTTGATATGTTTATTTTTTAGGATAAGAAGATTACGTCAACTTCAAATTCTGACACAGAAATGAAATCTGAACAACTGCCTCCCTGTGTGAATTCAGGCAATCCTGTGTTTTCATGTATGTTGGACCCAAAGACACTCTGTACAGCCACTTCACTATCAAAACCTAAGATGATTATGTATAAAACCAAGTCAAGTGACTATGGTGAATTTTCACCTATACCGCAGTTTCTTCCCTGCAATTATATTCCAAAGAAGCAATTATTTTCAAGCCATATCAGAGCAACTGGATTTTATCAAAATAACACTCTAAACACTGCACCTGACAGAACCAGAACCGTTGATTTTCCTAATTTTCAGCACACTCTATAAAAATATGCTCCTTTGTGTATTTAAGAGAAAATATACTCAGGAAAAACGAATTTTAAACCTAACACTAAAAAATCTTAATTTGAGATATAAGATTTGGATCAATTTTTTAAAATTCTTTAAGAAATAAAGCTTTTTAACTAATAACAGAATGACCTCTTTGATTTTAATGTTTTCTGTAACAGTGACTTCTTAAATAAAAATGTGTACAAAATAGCAGAATAAACAGTGTTCTGTTTCCGAATTCTTGGGCAGACTTAGCAGTCTGAAAGACAGTTCTTGTTAATCTGTGAGATCTGTCCTAATTCCAGGTGGTTAGAGTCAGAAGAAATGAAAAATCAGAAATGCATTTGCAGTTGATGTCAGAGAAGACATTTAGAGCTGATGTTGGAAGACACACATTATATCAATATATTGGAAGTATTATGTATGTGGATAATGAAATTACTAAGAACTATAGCAGAAGTAGTACTGGAAAAAGTGACAGTGAGCCAAGAGCTGACATTCTTAAAGAATGAAAAAGTGAACCAGAGGTCTACAAGAGAGCTTGCAGGTGGTACAGTTTGACAGCATGTTATTTCCAGGCTGCAAGCTTCTAGGGAACAGAAAGGAATATGGTTGTGGAAGCAACAATTAATACCAAGAAGGAAATCATGCCACCTCAAGGCCCAGTGGTTAGGAAAGCATGGAGGACAAAACAGACATCACTTGAGAGTGCTTCCAGGAAAAGAGGTGAAAGATAAACAGCAGATTTGCTATCTTACTTGTTTCCATGAGGTTGGGTATTTTGACTTGACCTACAAATGGACTTGGAATATAAACTTGTTCTTACATTAAGGGAATGTCATTTATCTTCCTGTTCAAAATCATATTTCTATGCACCTATAGCAGTGGTACTCAAACTTTTAGCCTCAGGACACCTTTATACTTAAAAATTTACTGAAGACCCCAAAGAGCTTTCATTCCTATTTATATAAGAAATAAAAACAGATATTTAAAAATTTACTGGTTCATATTTCTGTAAAGAATCCACTGTAAAAACTGGGTAACTGGAGGCCTTTTCCTTTACATGCAATATTGTATTATAGCTTGACGTTTGTAACTAAATTAGTTTGGAAAGTTTGCCTTAACAAATGTAGATGCTGTGTATTTATATATGGTAACCACACAGTAGTGAGAGAGTAAAGAACTTTCCAGTTTACATACCTGTAACTGCTACATTTATGACCCATTTGGAATCTTGAAATTAATTTCAATCAAATAACAGAACTAGCATTTTTTAAAAACCAGGGGTACCAAATTTTTTTATCTTTTATTCACAGGCTTTAATGATAACACTATTATTTTATCATGAAGGAAATTGGAATGTCTATATCAATATTTTAACACTCCCAATCTTCAATCAAAGACAAAAGTCCCTTGTAGACTGTTTTGGTTACCTGCTGCCGCTCTGACAAAAAATATACCACAAATGGGATGGCCTTAACAAACAGGAGTAAATTCTCTTACAGTTTGGACCCTTTAAGTCCAAGTTCAAAGTGCCAGGCTCTAGGGGCTGGGTGAAAGCCCCTCAACCTTGAGGTCCAGCTCTGCCTCCTGCTCCTGGCCCACTGGAGCTAGAGGTGTTTCTTCACTCAGACAGCTGCTGGCTGCTGAGGCTGAGAAGCCCCAAGGTTGACAAGTAAAAAGGCACAGTCTCGATATTACCAAACCACACAGCAGGCCATTAATTAAGTCCACTGTAAGTCCCAAGGTTGGCAGAGCATGGCAGGCTCCTGAACAATGACTCAGCTACACACAGGGTCCAAGTGTGCCATAAGCTGGAGACCATTCCCCAAGGCTTCTGTTTATATACAGGAAGCAGACCATATTCCCTAAAGCAGCTACTCAGCTGCTTGTGGTAGATCCCACCATGGAGTTGATTGCCAGTCTCGTCATGGGGAATAACTAACTACCACCAGCTGCCCAGCCACTCTAACACACAAACATAACCACCACATAGCCTATGAGAAATTGCTCAAATCAAAAGAAGTCAAGTACTTCATGAATACAAATAAGTGCCTATTGCATTTATATCAAGATTTTATTTAGGGAATAGGGAAAAAAAGATTAATATATAACTACTTAAAACTTTCCTTTCTTCTACCCCTTTTTACAGAATTCTTTGCCTTTACCGCAGATATTGTGCCAGCTTTTGTTTATTAACTGAGATGGTAAAGGAAGAGCCTGAGGAAAGACTAGGTTGATTGATCTTAAAAGGAAGTGGAACTGCCAGCTCAAAAAAGGTTTAAGACTAAAGTGAGAAGGATGTCTGAGAGGTTTATGGCAATGTTTTTGAGTAACAGTTGGTTTAAAAGGACTGAAGAGGACTCTTGTTAAACAGAATTCCCTTTTGATGTTTGGGTAAGAGAATTCAGGAAATAATTAAAAATTTCACCACAAGGAAGCCCATCTTTATTTGGGTGACATTTACTTTTAAATAAACAAATCAGGGCTGATTGTAAGAAAAAGTAATTCTGCCTCATGAGGTCTGGTAACTGAGCACAACTGCTATGGGAGTTACGAAAAATTGCTTTATATGAGTAAAATTTCAAGGTTACTGTGTGGTATTCTTCCTCAAAAAGGTATTGCATTAAAAAAAAAAACAGTAAATGGCCCAAATCATCTTACATTGTGGATGCACCTGGAGGACATTATGCTAACCAAAATAACTCAGTCACAAAAGGAAAAATACTGTATGATCTCACTTTCATGAAATGACAAGAACAGGTAAATATAGAGAACTGGTAGCACAACAGTTAAATGCTTCACTGCCAACCCAAAGGTTGACGGTTCAAATCCACCCAGAGGCTCCAGAGGGGAATAGACCTGGGGATCTGCTCCCATCAAGACTACAGCCTAGAAAACCATATGGAGCAGTTCTACTCTGTCACATGGGATTGCTGTGACTTGAAATTTAACTCGAGGGGACACAACAGTGTTCTTTGGTGGCTGCCAGGAGTGGGGGGGGGGGCTTGCTTTCTAGTCATTTTTTGTTTATGATGATGGGAAAGGTGACACTGAGTGTGGGTAAAGTTTGCACACCTTAACTAATGTAATTTACCACTAAGTATACACAAGAAAAAGGATGAATTAGCAAATGTTATGTTACATATAATTCCACAACAACAACCAAAAAAATATATAAAAATCAAATTTAAAAGGCCTGTAGATGCTGATACTACACAGACATTATCACTTCGTGGGATTAGATTTTTGTGGTTTGAAGATTTAGGATCACAGTCTCATGGAATAATCTAATCAACTGGCATAATATAGTTTTTAAAGCTTATGTTCTACTTCATATTTTGGTGGGTAGCATCTGGGGTCTTAAAAGCTTACAAGTGTCTGGCTGAGTTACAACTGACAGTCTCTTTCATCTAGAGCAAAAGAGAAAGAAGAAAACCCAAGAATCATAGAAAGAACCAGATTACAGGATTAATTATCTCCAGGAACCACTACCTACTTACTTACTTTACCTTCAGACCACAGGGACTAGACGGTGCTCAGCTACCACTACCGAACATTCTGATCAGGGATACAATAGATGGATCCTGATAGGGAGAAAAATGTGGAACTCAACTTCAAATTTTTTGAGTCCAGACTTACTGGACCCATTGAGGCTGGAAGAATCCTCAAGACTACTATTCTGAGATACGTTTTAAACCTTGAAGCAAAACTATTACCTGAAGTCACCTTTAAACTGAATAGCAGCTTAGCTCAAAAAGTAAAACATGTATTCCTTGAATACTGTTCTCTTTTAAGATGTTATCTATATAAGACCAAATAAACAACAGTTACTTTAAAGCACAGATGGAAAGTTTGGGTGGGGAGGTAGTGAATCTAAGTTAATGGGAGTGAAACAAGTAGAACAGAAATAATGAGAAAGTTGACACAATATAAAGAATGTAACAAATGTCACAGACTGTCACTTATAGATTGTTGAATGAGAACATGTTTTGCTATGTATATTTTCATTAAAAATATGATGATTTTTTAAGTTTTATGATCCACTTGAATGACAACATTTAAAAACTGTGTAAAAATTCATCCTGTTTTGTTTTACTAAAAATCCTTTCAATATACTCTGTGACGACTACTACATGCAAAAGGGAAGCTATACTATTGTGTTTAATGCTTGCATCATCACACAGTGATACAACACACCTGGTGGTGCAATCCAAAGCCAGTACTGTAATAGTCTAATTTATCATCTCATCCTTTGCCGTGTTTTTCTTTCCTGATATATTTAAAAGTACAAGGACACAATCACACTACAAAACTTATCTCCCCAGATAGTGTTATGAAATATGATCAATTTTTAGGGCAACATTGCCTACAACTAGAGCTGAAGATAAGGTTTTCCAAACATTTGTTTTATTAGGCAGCTGGTCTAACCTCAGATATTGGGGAAGTACTGGGGGGCAGGGGAAGGTTCTGTATATTTGGCAACTGAATAAAAACCTATCAGTACTGGTTATACCACGGCCAATCATTCAGACAATTAAAAAGTATGCTGTTGTTTGTTGTTATGTGCCATCGAATCAGACCCGACTCATAGTGACCCCTCCTTGGGTTTCCAAGGCAGTATCACTACGGAACCTTCCTTCCGAGGAGTGGCTGGTGGGTTTGAATTGCCAACCTTCTGGTTAGCAGTCAAGTGCCTTAGCCACTACGCTACCAGAGCTCCCATTAAAAAGTATATTTAATTAAAAAAAAAACTTTATAAATACAATCTTTTACTTGACAAGTCTATGTTGTTTTAAAACAATCAGTGTCCTAGTAATCATCACACAAACAAATTATTTGGTTAGTTACAATGGCAACTTCAATCCAATTAGAAAAAATGCATCATTAAGCTATGTACTAATATAAAGTAGAAAAAAATCAAAATTGATTATTCTTATTTTGATTTGTTTAATCAGAAACTATCAAACGAAACATTTCATTTTCTTTAGATTTATAATATTTTGCCCTATATAGAACTATAGTACTAAACAGAAAGTGATTCTGCACAATAAACCATAGTAAGTACAGAGATCCCTAACCTGTTATTTTTTTATAAATTTAAAATAATATCTTGTTGCCTCTAGTAGTTATTAAGATTTTCGTTCTGTTCCTTGAATTATATTCCGAATCTTCTCAGCATCATTTAGTACAGTTTTGTTGGATGGATCAATCTTAAGTGCAGCTTCATAATCCAGTAGGCCTAAATTTATACAGTAATGATGATCAATAAAATGAATATTTTATAAATACTTGTCTTATCTAGATAATACTCTTTAAAAATAATAATCACTAAGAACATGGTTCAGGACGAGTATTAAGTATTAATGCAGATTCCCTTCTTCACACATGGTAACATCTCTAACTACAAAAATTTTCAGTGATTTCAGGAATAAATACAGTGATTTCATTCAGAGTTCAGTAAGAAACAGTTATTTCAGACTGATGTACAAATAAGTTAACAGATTAAACTCATTAAAGTATAAACAGATTCAATAAACTTTTATATATCCAAAGGGCATTTTTATCACTTCAAGGAAAAGATAATAAATGATACCTTACTTAGAAAATCAGACTTTTAAAAATATTTTTTATAGACTCAATTCATTCTTTATATAAAATAGACCAGTTTATGGTAATAGTTGTTGGTTTTTTTTTTTCCTGTAATTATCTACAGAATTCCTTTGAGGAAAATTGTTTGAAAAGGAAAACATTATGGACTAGCTGTTAAGAATATGTAAATGAATCTAAATCTTTACCGAAAAAGCTGTGAAAAAAATATTTCTTTAAAAGTAAAAAACCTGAATTATTCTAACTAAAGAACTATTAATTTGCCAAGTCACTTCAGATACAACACTTAACTTCTCCAAGCCTCCATTTTCTCATCTTTAAAATAAAAGTCCTTGTTCTCAAATAAATCTATCATGCTATAATTTCTAAAGACTAGTTTACATTATGTCACCCATGTCTTGATCATTTTTGTCCTCATGAAGCTAGATAAGAAACTAAAACAAAGATGGAGCATATAAACCTAATTTGGATGCTCTAGTTAGAAAAATCTCCTAAAAATGTCAGGACCAAGTTTAAAAACAAAGGTAGATATAATAAAATTTATGAGCTGGAGATCATTCCTTGGAAAGGCATCATCAAAAGTAGACCCTGAAACAAAACTCAAAATCATTTAAAAAAAGGGACTGATAGAGCCTAGTTGAACCTCTGAGACTATGGCCCACAGCTGCTCTTCAGGTCTGGAATTGAACCCACTCCTGTGGCTTCCAGCCAAACAAAACACAGGCACATGAACTAAATAAACATTTACACTGGGTAGATACACTGCTTGGAGAGATCATTCACATGAGCTTAGAAGGGCTGTGTATGCACAAGGAGAAAACTCAGGGGGCAAGAGTGCATGGGAGGAAAGGACACAGGGAAGAGGTAACTATGGGGAGGAAGTGGGAAGTGAGCTGTTGCACTGAGGGAAATTGCAGTCACTGTCATCAGACAAAGTGTATGTGAACTGCTGTATGGAAAATGAATTTGCTCTGTAAACTTTCACCCAAATCACACAAATATTTAAAAAAAAAAAAGAGTAGACCTTGAGTGAAGATGCTAAATGAGACATCTGGGCAAGGAGATATGGGAAGAGGAATGTTGAAGATAAATTCTGGCTACTATAAAATCTTGCATTTGGGGCAAAATGAGTAATTGCAAATAATTACTAAATATATTATTAAAAATGCAAAAATAAAATAAAAACAAATGCAGTTTGTTTTTATTATTCACAATAATTGTATAAAGTCACCATGAACACTGAATTAACAAATACTAATTCCTAGAAAAAATTCAGAGGTTAAGTTCCTGCCCTGTCTGATCATAACATTTTCATCAAATGATTAATATATAACCTTATTTTATGTGTGCTTCTGTTTAAAGATACCTTATTTGATAAATATTTCTTACAAAATTATTAATGATATGCAGCATTTCTTTATAATAAAACACTAGCTAGGAAGGGTTTAAAATTTTCCTGACACTGGGTAATATGACCATAAATTTCTTTGAGTTTCAGCCTTTCAACAATGCTGTCCACTACACTTTGTTTATTGGTCGTAGTTTCGTGAACACACAAATTTAGCCACTTTTCCATAGCTTCGTGATGTACTATATATGTTACCTGAGAACTTTTTGACGTGGCCTCACATACAAATCACTGCATTTCCTTTCCTTTTTGTGGATGTACCATGCTGTTGATTCATAAACACTGAACTCACAGCCAACAGCACTTATACCTGAAGAAAGCCTATCTAACACCTGTTTTTTCTCTGTACGGCACAACACAGCCTCCTAGTGTGTTCAATAGATAGCCCTTCAGCATTATGCTTGGGAGCTGTCTTAAATAGCAAAATCACCACCAAAAGCATAAAACTGGGCACTAAATAGAACATGAAAAGGACATCCGTTTACAATATGAGAGCTGAAATAAGAAGGCAGAGTCACCTTGTTCAACTTCAGCCTCAGCTGGGGAAATGACTGTAGAGCAACTCAAAAATTTTCACCATTCTATGCATGTCTGCAAATGCCTGTGAAAGCACCATGAGTACTAATTTGGGGGTTACAAGCTTATTTTAGTGAGTAGGAAAATTCTTCAATATAGAATCCACCAATATTGAAGATCGACAGCTATACACATTGGGCTTTGACAAAATTTTGCCTTCCAGACAATGTAAGTAACTACAACCACTCACTAAACATATTATTTAAAATGCAAAAACAAATATATGCTATGGCTTCTATACACATAAAGAGCTTTTGTGGCACAGTGCCTAAGGCATTTGACTGCTAACCAGAAGGTTGGCAGTTCAAACCCACCAGCCGCTCTATTGAAGGAAAACTTGGAAATCTAATTCCATAAAGATTTACCACCTTAGAAAGCCAATGAGGGGTCACTATGAGTCAGAATCGACTCGATAGCAATGGGTTTTGTTTTAGTTTGGTTTTCTATACACAAAGGGCTGAATTACAGACCTAGAAAAGATATATAACTTAAGTACAGTCTCAAAAATATAAGCAGTATTCATGCACTGTGATAAAGCAGTTACTTCTGGGCTTATGTGTATAAAGAAGCACTGCCATTAAGTCGATTCCAACTCATTAGCAACCTCACTGGGTTTCTGAGGCAGTAAATCTTTAAGAAACAGATTGCTCATCCTTTTTCCAAGGGAGCAGGGGTGGGTTTGACCCACCAACCTTCTGATTAGCAGTCCAATGCCTTAGGTGATGTACCACCAGACCTCCTTATGTATATATATAGGTTATTACCAAAGCAGCTTTTTTTTCCACACATTCCCATAATAGCTTAGGGAGCTCTGGTGGCATAGTGCCTAAGGTATTTGACTGCTAACCACATGGCTGGTTGTTCAAACCCACCGGCCACTTCTCAGAAGGAAGACTGGGTAATCTACTTCCATAGAAATATCACTTTAGAAACCCAAGAAAGGGTCACTATGAGTCTAATCGACTCAATGGCATTGAGTTTGGTTTTTTGGATAATAGCTTAAGGAACTCACTTACATGTTTATGACATATCTTTTTGTAGAAAAGTTCTCTGATCCCAGAGTATTTTCTTTGACCTAAAGTTGCCACTCACGTTCTGTATTAATTCCTTTCTAGAATAATGAGAAGGAACCCTGGGGGCACAGTGCTTACATGATCAGCTGCTAACCAAAAGGTTGGTGGTTTGAACCCATCTGCTGCTTCACAGAAGAAAGATGTAGCAGTTTGCTTTCATAGAGATTACAGCCCAAGAAGCCCTATGGGGCAGTTCTACTCTGTCCTATAGGGTGGCTATGAGTTGGAATTGATGACATTGGGTTTGAATTGGTTAGAATAATGAGATTTTGAAAATATTTCAAAATCATTTTGTCAGATAATAAATGCCAAAAGGTAAAATAAAGGAGTCCTAAAAAAGTTATGATCTTAAATAATGACAGTGACATTTTTTCAGAGAATACCTTGAAACTTAAAGCATTTCCATCAATTTCTTACCTTCTACATACAATTCTAGTTGACAGAATGCTGTTCCTCGTCTTACATGTGCCTTCATTCTTGCATTAGCATTGTCTGCAACAGATGGTGTCAGTAATTCCAGTGCCTGACCAATCAATAAAAAGGAAACAAACACTATAATTAATAATGGAAAGATAGGATCTTCTAATTTAAACTTGAACAAAACCACAGTAAAAGTCCTAACATTAAAACAAACTGAAACCCTTATCAACTGAAATTTCTAGCTTACCTGGTAAAGGAATTTATCAAATATACCCACTCCTCACTTATCATCATGGTTAAGTTCCAAAGATTGGGTCATCATGTAAAAATTGGCATTATGCAAACATGGAGGAAGACCACGTCAGATCACAAAACGGAGAAAGACTACATCATTATATAACTGCCAAATGACATTATTACATAACTCCCAAGTTATAGCATTTCATAATCACCAAATTACATCATTATGTAACTGCTAAACCACTGAGAATCATGATCCAATCAAGCTGACCTTAACCATCACAGCCAGTGTTATTCTCTGCTTGCACCTCAGCATTCGTTACTGCCAATGTATGTTATTAATGTGCAAAACATCAGAAGTAGATTTTTTACTATTGCCATAAATGCAAAATGTTGGATAATGAGACAGTTGGTAAGTGAGGAGCAGGTGTACTTATATTTATGTTGAACAATTAAGTTCTTCAACTGTTCTATATAGGATTTATATCCTCTCCTTAAGTTATGATCTGGCTCAACATCTGAAATCTCCACAACTTTACCTTTACCAATTTGAATAATTAAACAGCATGTGTGGTCTTGTGTATTCAAAGTATGACCCCGGGTAGCACAAACAGTTAGCTCTCAGCTACAAACCAAAAAGATTGTTGGCTCAAACCCACCACAGAAGAAAGAACTGTCAGTCTGCTTCCAAGAAAACCCTATAGAGCTGTTCTCTGTAATACATGGGGTCACCATGAGTCACAATCAACTTGATGGCAACAGGTCTGGTTTTGTTGGTTTTATATTCAAATTGGGTGGTTTAATTTATGTATTCATTGCCTAAATATTTATTGGTGCATTGATGCAAGGAATTGTGCTAGTCGAAGAAAAACTGGGTCATAAAAATTATAACTTCCGTAGCTTGATGAGCTCGAGCTACAAGGATTTGATTGTTTCTTCCATAGCCTCAATCTTAAAGAGCCACATAAGAGATTTTATACATGGTGCTTCCTGAACACAAGTTACCCTGATATAGAAAAAAAGAGATAAAACTATATTAGTTTAACATATTAACCAGAAATATAGTTACTGGAAATTAGGATATACTGTTAGCCTTAAAAAGGCACTCTGATGGCATAGTGCCTAAGGCATTTGACTGCTAATCAGAAGGTTGGTGGTTCAAACCCACCAGCCACTCTATGAAGGAAGAATGGGCAATCTACTTCTGTAAAGATTTACTACCTCATAAACCCAATGGAGGTTGCTATGAGTCAGAATAACTCGATGGCAGTGAGTTTGGTTTGGTTTGGTTTGGTTACCCTTAAAAAAGGAAATTTTTATGGCAATACTGTTTCACTTTGCACGTGGTAGTAATAACAAGGAAATACCAAGTTTTTTTCTTTCTACTTTTCATTAAACATGGAAAACTTTGAGAGAGAAAAAGTTACAAACTGACAACCATTTACTAATTTCCTTGTGAATTTCAACTAATGCCAAGGAAATATAGTAACAGTTCACAGGAGTTTTCTAATCTAACTTGAAATCTTAAGGAACACCAGTTCCTTATTCATTTAAAAAAAAAAAAGGCAGTAGGATATAATAAGCAAGATGATTTTTTAAATTATTTTACCTTAAGTATTGATATTTAACAGAAAAAAATACAGCGGTATTATTTAAAGCAATAAGAGGGTAACAATTTAAAACACTATATATAAATATATATGTATATACATATACCTTAGAAGAATCTTCGATGGCCTTGTGCAAGTTTTTTAGTTTTAGGTGACAAGCAGCCCGATTCAAATACAGTAACGGAATCTTATTATTTAGTCTTATGGCTAAGTTGTATGCATTAATAGCTGCCAAATAATTTTCTGTTGCAAACAATTTACTAAGGAGACAAAAACAGAAGAGAAAAACACTGTAACATTGAAACAGGAACACAGAAAAATACCTCATCACATTTTGCAAAGGGAATGGCTTACCTCCTGCTATACTCCCTGTACAATGAACATTGTTGGCAGCACTGATTACTTGACTGCTAACCAGAAGGCTGGCGGTTCGAAATCACCAGCCACTCCTCGGAAGGAAGATGGGGCAATCTACTTCCGTAGTGATACTGCCTCGGAAACCCAAGGTGGGGTCGCTACTCGATGGCACATAACAACAACAACAACACATATCAGGAAGGAGTCTGAATGGGACTGACCTCACCTCCAACACCTAGAGGACACCATAAGTGGCTTAAACTAGTAGGCATAATGCATCCTTTTTGCTACAGTGATTGACTCAGGAATGGCTTGTGATCCAAGCTGGTCTATTTGGAATGAAGTCTGTGATTTTGTTTCCAAAGGTAGGAAAAAAAAAAAAAGGTGCCATCAAGTCAAGTTTTACTTATGGAGACCCCATGTGTTTCAGAATAGAACTGTATCTACTCCATAGAATTTTCAAGTTAGATTTCTAGGGGAGCTCTGGTGGTGTAGTGCCTAAGGCATATGACTGCTGACCAGTTCAAACCCACCAGCCACTCCTTGGAAGGAAGATTGGGCAATCTACTTCTGGTGAGCTTTCGCCTCAGAAATCCAAGTAGGGGCTACTATTGAGTTGGAAACAACTCGGCAGCAGTGAGTTTGGTTTTTTGGTTTCATTCTTTCAAGGCCCCTCTGGATAGGTTTGATGGCACCAACTGTTTGGTTAATAGTTGAGGGCTTAACCATTTGGGACACCCAAGGATGCCTGGTGATGTAGTGCCTAAGGTATTTTGACTAACCAGAAGGTTGGTAGTTCAAACCCACTAGCCACATCACAGAAGGAAGACTGGGCAATCTACTTCCATAAAGCTTTACTGTCTCAGAAACCCAAAGAGGGTCACTATGAGTCAGAATCTACTCGATCGCAGTGAATTTGGTTTTGGTTTTTTTGGGGATGCCGAGTTCCTAGGTTTGAGAATGAAAGTTGGGAAAACTTCTCCCCCTGCTGGAAATGAATGAGGAAAGCACAAAGTGCAAATCAGTGCTGACATTTATTTTTTATTTTAAGAGTTTGTTTTACATTCAACACTACGTGTACATTTAGTTTCACTCCCCATTTACCATGCCCAACCCTAATTCAGTGTCCTCCCCTCCCTGCCCAGTAAACCACCCCTCCACGTGCCCCTCATAGTCATGCACTCCTGTGTGTCCTGCATTTCTTCTGTGTGAATGTTGCCCCTCTGGTACCCCATGGTCAATTGCTCCAAGGAATGCATTTCAATAGAGTATGTGGGTGTGTCACCCTGGGTTGAGTAGTCTCCATGTACATCTTGTTTACTATTGGGCTGAGAGCCAGCCCTTGGGAGTGAGCTTTATTCCAGGCCCAGAATGTATCCCAGGACCATAGTATTGGGGGGTCTCACCAGACTCCATCTGACCAGTAATTCTGGTTATTATTAAGTTTTTGGATTTTGTTCCATGTTTTTCCTCCTACTCTATCCAGGATCTCCAGATTTGATCCTACCCTGAGTGATTGGCATTGGTAGCCAGGCACCATCTAGTTCTTCTGGTCTCAAGGGCCATCATGTCCTAGGGCTGATTACTTCCAATGCCCTTGGTTTTTGGTTTTTTTTTTTTTGCACTCTTCGCTTCCAATGATAGGAGACCATTAGCTAGCTGCACCTTAGATGGCCACTTGAAAGCTTAAGACCCCAGTTGCTACTCACCAATGCAGGATGAGGAACAAGGCTTTTATGTATTTTGTTGTGCCAATTGAGCCTGGTGTCCCCCAGTACTATGGTCCTGAGAAAGTAGATCTGTTGGATCTCTCTCCCACGTGTCTGGGTGTCTGTGGGGGATTACTCTGTGTCTATCGTCTGTTGTTTCTGTAAGGATTATGGGTATTTTGTATCTGGTATCTGTGCAAGATTAGCCTCTGCTGAATCGATCCTTGGTCTAGAGTACACTCCTGTTCACTGACTCCCATCTCATCCTCTCAGGTGTTTGTGTGTTTATCTGTAGCCTGGTGTTTGGTGTTAATGGCAATGTGGTATTGTGGACACATTGGTTGGTATTAGCATCTGTCGTCTATCTCCTATGTGCACAATTTGGTGTCCTCCCTCTTCCTAATGTTATCATGGTTATCACAGACTCTTTTCATACATCTCTCCCCTTACCCACATCAGCGTGTGGGCCCCAACTAGCCCGAAATTAATCCCTCTCCTTCCCTCCCCACCCCGGCAACCTACAAACTGAGTTCCCTACTACCAGAAGAGCTAACATTTAGAATAAAGCTAAAACTAAGGAAGTATGGAAGGAATAAAAGGGCAGAAAGAAACTGAGTCCTTGGTGACACAGTTGAACTGCTGGATCAAGCTTTGCCTGGTGGTATAGTGCCTAAGGCATTTGACTGCTAACCAGAAGGGTGGTGGTTCAAACCCACCAGCCACTCCTCAGAAGGAAGATTAGGCAATCTACTTCTGTAGTGATACCACCTTGGAAATCCAAGGAGGGGTCGCTATGAGTCGGATCCAACTAGACAGTGAGTTTTGAGTTCTTTGGTTATGTAAGCCAATAAATTCTTTTTAGCATAAAGGCCATTTGAATTCACTTTTCTGATTTTTGCAAACAAAAGCATCCTAACTGATACACGCTTATAGGTCAAGTGCCCTGAAGTTCTCCTCAGATAATGAGATCTACATGATTAAAGGATTTATTTTAAATATTACATTTATTTTTTGTTCTTATTTATAAAAAAATTTGAAAAATATACAACAAAAGGGAAACAGAAAATTATCTGCCAAGTATAAAAATGCCATATAAGTAACACAATGATTTCATTTCCAGTCAATTGTACTACATACTTCACAGCTCTGGAATATTAAACACAATGACATCAAAAGTAGACCCATTAGAGCAAACAGTAAATCATGAGTAAAAGATAAGATGGTGCCATGGTGACATCAAAGCTAAATCTAATTCAAGCTTAAAATAATTTGCACAAACTAGAAAAGCTAATTCTCTGAGAACAGTTTGTTTCTGAAATGCCTCATATCACGACATTTCTGACTGCAAGGACTGTTACCTTAAACAAATAAGGAAATAAATGATATCACATAAAAAATAGTCCAGAAGGATGTGGCTCAATGCCCAATGTGATCAGCAGCTTAAAGACATTACCAAGCTCCAAGTTCCTTCAATCTCTCTATTCTACTGTTGTTGTTAAGTGCCATTGAGTCGTTTCCAACTCATAGCGACCCCATGCACAGCAGAACGAAACACTGCCCGATCCCACGCCAGCCCCACAATCCCTGCTATAATTGAGCCCATCATTGCAGCCACCATGTCAATCCATCTCGTTGAAGGCCTCCCCCTCTTTCGTCAACCATCCACCCTACCAAGCATGACATCCTTCTCCAGGGAATGGCCCCTTCTGACAACATGACCAAAGTAGGTGAGACGAAGTCTGGCCATTCTTGCTTCCAAGGAGCATTCTGGCTGCACTTCCTCCAGGACAGATCTGTT